GGGCCTCTGAGAGGCCCCGCAGCCCTCCGAGCAGGCCTTCTCCTTATCGCTTCCCCCCCCCCCTCGCTCGCCGCCGAAGAAAGGAACCAACACCGATGCAAGCGCAACCCAACAACATCCTCATCCTCGTGCTCGATCACTAGAAGACTCCTAGATGGGGTCGGAGTAGGGTCGGAGGATCGCGCCGCATCGCCGATGCATCGGCGACGTCGGCGAAGCATCGACGTGGATAAACTCGGGCTCCACATCGAACCGCATCGGCGATGCGGTGCGATCCCCCGACCCTATCTACTCGGACCCCCATCTGGGAGGCCTAGAATTATGTCGGGCCTGTCCCCCTACAGGGGGATTTTCGACGACAAATAAGAAATACCCCAAACATGCACCAAAAAGGCCAACCATAATCGAAAAACTGTTCACATACTATTTTTGGACCATTTTGGATATTTTTATGTCGGGGCTGTCCCCCTGTATGGGGGACAGCCCCGACATAAGCCTAGAATCACCCCCCGCGCCCCCTCCTCCCCTTGGTCGCTTCGCGACCGAGGAGGGGGGCTGGGAGCAGGGGCGCTTCTCGGCGCACCAGGGCCCGAGGCACGCGCACGCAGACGAGGCGGCCACGGGAAACACTGGAAGGAGAAGACGAGGGGGCCGCGGCATCTGGGATGCCCCGTGGCCCTGGCCATCACACACAAATGGTAGTTTGATAGACACATGTGTATCTATATATATATATATATATAGATAGACATGTATACACAGACTCACATAGCATATGCTGATAGACACATCAAAATATAATAATTTATAAATATATGTAGGCTCATGCAAATGTCCGCATGCACAGTAGGAGTAACGACCAACTGCACAAGTAGAACGCTTTCGCAGGGCGGAACACATCTCTTGGATCGGCGCCGGTGCCACGGGGCGGCGCCAGAGGCGCCGCCGGTGGGGCCCATCGCCAACCCAAGAAATCTGCGCGGATCTCCCAGCACCTGTGATTGTGCCGCTCTTTCGCTTTCCTTTCCCTTCGATCTGGCCCTCGCTTTACCCGCGTCTTTTGGCACGATGTAGCCAGGCCCTGATGGAAACGGGTCCTGGAACCTGGAGCCTTCCCCCAGGACCTGTTAGTTATTCAGCCTGAGCTGGTTTTTGCCGGTCCTGGGGCCTGGAGAGGGCCCCTGGAGGCAAACAACTCATACAAACCTCAGGGCCCGCTTCCCTGTGCCCGTTTGCTTCGTGGCGACTCCTTGCCCCCGACCGCTCCCTCGGGGCGCCAAATGGGGCTCGTGGGGCCGACGGCGCGGGGCGGGGGGGGCGGCCCGGCTCCTCCTCCCACCTCTTGCCGCAGCCGGCGCGCACGACCAGCTTGACCTCGCCACTCTTGCCGTCCTGCGGCCGCGTGGGCAATGGTCTCTAAGGGGTGCGGTGGCAAGCCGAGCGGTGACCTCCGAATCCTGCAAGACCTCACCGCACGATGCGTCGCCGCGCGGCCTTCGGACCCTGGGGCGCCAGGCCGAATCCTCACTGACTCACCACACGGTGCGATCACGGCACCGCCTGGGAGCCCCCGCGCGGGCGGGGAGGGGGAAGCGCCAACGGCGTGCCACAAATCTGGAAGTCCCAGACACCTGGCGTCGTGACCTCTTCACAGCGTGGCCTCCCAAAGGCCTGACCCCTACCCGGAGACCGGCTCTCCACCCCGAGAGGCGCTCTGTTGACAACCCCGGGGCCAGGCAGCCCCGACGATGCCGAGCAAATCGCCCACACTGCTCATAGCGTTTCTTCCACGACGCGAGGATGTCAGGGGAGGAGGAGGAGGAGGAGGAGGAGGAGGAGGAGGAGGAGGAGGAGGAGGAGGGAGGAAGACGAAGATCGAAGGGGATGCGAAGATCGAGGATAGGTATTGGGACGTTCTTGGCCTGGTCGGGGTGCCTCTGCAGACCTCCGCAGACCTCCGCGAACCAAGGAGGAGGGAGGAGAGACGGAGGGAGGGAGCGGGGGAGGGGGCGCAGTGGTTCTGCAATGTTCGGCTTCTGGGGGCCCTCGCCAAGCCCTGGGACCGCGAGAGACTGACTTTTACCAAACAGCTTTTGCTGATAGGTTTCTAGTGGACTCAAAAGAGAGCATCTGATGACTCCACAAGGGGGTCTGGGCGGGTGCCGGGGAAAAGAACCGGGAACAGAGCCGGGCTCGTTTTAAGCCAACAGTCACACACACTTCGTGCTCTTCGACCTCCCAGAACTCCATTCCCGGGCCACATTTTGAATAACCGGAGCCAACGTTCACACACTTCTTGCTCTTCGAGTTCCCAGAACTCCATTCCCGGGCATTTTGGATGCCCGGAGCCAACTGTAGGCCACTTCGTGTTCTTCGACTTCCCAAAACACCATTCCCGGGCCACATTTTGGATGCCAGGAGGCAACTGTACGCCACTTCGTGCTCTTCGAGTTCCCAGAACTCCATTCCCGGGCCACATTTTGGATGCCAGGAGGCAACTGTAGGCCACTTCGTGTTCTTCAAAACCCAGAACTCCATTCCTGGGCATGATTTTGAATGCCCGGAGCCAACTGTAGGCCACTTCGTGTTCTTCGAGTTCCCAGAATTCCATTCCCGGGCCACATTTTGAATGCTGAGACAGGCTGAGGCTGAGGCTGAGGCTGAGGCTGAGGCAGGCTGAGGCTGAGGCCGAGGCTGAAGGCAGACTGAGGCTGAGGCTGAAGCAGGCTGAGGCTGAGGCTGAGGCAGGCTGAGGCTGAGGCAGGCTGATGCTGAGGCAGGCTGAGGCTGAGGCTGAGGCTGATGCAGGCTGAGGCTGAGGCAGGCTGAGGCTGAGGCCAGGCTGAAGGCAGACTGAGGCTGAGGCTGAAGCAGGCTGAGGCTGAGGCTGAGGCTGAGGCTGAGGCTGAGGCTGAGGCAGGCTGAGGCTGAGGCTGAGGCAGGCTGAGGCTGAGGCAGGCTGAGGCTGAGGCTGAGGCTGATGCAGGCTGAGGCTGAGGCAGGCTGAGGCTGAGGCCGAGGCTGAAGGCAGACTGAGGCTGAGGCTGAAGCAGGCTGAGGCTGAGGCTGAGGCTGAGGCTGAGGCAGGCTGAGGCTGAGGCAGGCTGATGCTGAGGCAGGCTGAGGCTGAGGCTGAGGCTGATGCAGGCTGAGGCTGAGGCAGGCTGAGGCTGAGGCCGAGGCTGAAGGCAGACTGAGGCTGAGGCTGAAGCAGGCTGAGGCTGAGGCTGAGGCAGGCTGAGGCTGAGGCTGAGGCAGGCTGATGCTGAGGCAGGCTGAGGCTGAGGCTGAGGCTGCAGGCTGAGGCTGAGGCAGGCTGAGGCTGAGGCCGAGGCTGAAGGCAGACTGAGGCTGAGGCTGAAGCAGGCTGAGGCTGAGGCTGAGGCAGGCTGAGGCTGAGGCAGGCTGAGGCTGAGGCTGAGGCAGGCTGAGGCTGAGGCTGTGACTGCGACTGCCGTTGCCACTGCGACTGTCATCGCGAATGCGACTACGACTGCGAGAACAGCAGAATTCTACAACTGGATTCTCATCCGAATCTTAAGGGGAATGCTTCCAGATATGCTCCTACACATCGCTGTTAGGTTGCTTTGCCGGGAAAATTTTCTAGCAAAAGCATTCACCAACTTCTTCCCCCACACCGATACCGCACATAATCCGCTTCCCCTCATGGGGGCTATGAGCGCTCCCCAAGATGAGCCGCTGCTACCCACCGGCATTGCGCACGGACACGGCCTCGTATCGCTCTGAAGCTGTTTAGTGGCAAGGCTCGAAAAAGGTGGGCCGGGTAAACGTCACCACAAACAAGGAGGAGGAGGAGGAGGAGGAGGCAAGGAGGAGGAGGCGGAGGCAAGGAGGCAAGGATAAGGTGGACCGCGAGAAACTGACTTCTGGGGACCCTCACCACTGGCCCTGGGCCCACGAGAAACCGACCCGGGAGGAAGAACCGGCCCTGGGAGAAGGGGTCGACATCCCCGAGGGCCTGCGGTGCGGCAAGGATCGCGACAGCCGGTGCCTGGGGAGCGCGGAGGGAGGGGCGTGGGGGGAGGCATAAACAGCAGACCACTGCACGAGCATGCCTTCCGGAGGTCGGCCTCGACTTCTCGGGTCGGCGCCAGACCCCCCTCCGCTGGGGCGCTGCCGCCGCCGCCGACGGTCGGCGGTGGACAAACCTCCCTTTGGTAAACCTCCCCTTAGTGAAAACGGCCTGGCACCGAAACCGGCGGACCTGGACCCGCAACAAAAATGACGGCCGCGACGCCCTCTCGCGAACCGAAAACGGCCGATCCCTGAATCGACGTGTCAGGGTAGGAGGTCTATCCACCTCCGAGACGTTGGCACGAATCAGACGGGTCCTGAGGGAAACGGGTCCTGGACAGGCCTTGCCCCTGTGGTGCCAACTCTTCCTCCCGAATCCTTCGCTGACGGCCCTGGGGCCCGTGGAGGGCCCCAGGAGCCCGAATGCGGAGACAAAGCTCAGGGCACGACCGGGTTACTTCATGGCGACGACGAGTGGCGCCCTCCAGCCTGGCAGGCCCCAACTGGATCGCATCGCGAAATCGGATCGGGTCGGAAACGCATCCGGTCGCGGGCGGTCGAGTCAGGTCGAACTGGAATCGGGTCGCCGCACCTGTCCCCCGCTGGCCCCGACCGCTGCCGGTGGACCGATGCGAATCGAATCGGAATCGCGGCCCCAGCCGACAAATCGATCTGCATCGAGCTGGGTCGTAAGGCTTTCCGCCCTTGCGGTCGCTGGGCGGAGCGCTGTGGCGACGCGGGGTGGTGAGGGGCAACGTTAGGGGGGACCAGCCCAGGGGGCGAAATATCGACCTGGAAGTGGTGATACATCGCCGATTCATCGGCGATGTGCCCCCGCAAGCGAATCCCGCACGCTCCTTTTCCGGGTGGGCTATCGGGCCCCTTTCGGCGCTCAGTATGCGATCGGGGGACGGTGCGTCCCTCCCTTGGAGCCCACCTCTTCTTGACCTCGCCTCCTGGCTTTCGAACTATAGCTCGGCTCTCTGGCGGCCGTTCGCGACAATCCAGGCACCGCTGGAACGCTCTCGGCGAGGCGCAGCCGCTGGAAGGCATCCCGAGACTGGAAAGCCATCTATCTCTCTCTATATATATATATATATATTATAGAACCGACGAAGACGTTTCAAGACCTTTTGAGCCGATCCCCGCCACGTTGCCCATGAGCCTCTCTGGCCGCCCGCTAGGCCCTTCCTGACGTTGCCCCTGACGACTGACGTGGGGGGGGGCGGTCCAGCAGGGACAGCACAGAGGGGTGGTGCGGGCTGAGGTCCACGGCGAGCCCTGGGCGGCGCACGTTCGAAACCGCTCGGGCGGGGGCCCTCGTCGTCGTCGTCGTCGTCGTCCTCGTCTTCGTTCTCGTCGTCGTCGTCCTCGTCGTCGTGGTCGTGGTCGTGGTCGTGGTCGTCGTAATGGTCGTCGTCGGATACTCATTTCTACAGACAAGTGGCACGCATGCCCTCGCTCTTGCACGGGAGAGGGCCAGGGCCAAGCGAGGCGGGGTGAGGGAGGGGGGGGTTCTTGGGGCCATCACGGGCTGGGGCCATTATCAAGCGGACGAACGAACGAGGAGCATATAATTCGCTGGCCCAACGGGCCAGAGGCGTGCTAAGATCTCCGGCAATGAACAATAATTACTTCTAGTTCGCGCGCGCGGAACGGCCCCTGGGGCCCCCCGGACGAAACGTACCCCGGCAAGGTCCCGAGAGAAGCCACCAGAGCACTCCAGGGGAGGGCCATTTTTCGACACCCCTCACGAGGATCGTGGCCTCCGAGGGGGGAGCCGCAATCGACTCCCCCCCCTGCCGCCCCAAGAGGCCCCCAAAAGCCCCCCAAGAGGCCCTGGGGCCCCCAAGACGCCACCAAGGAGCCCCAAGAGACCCCCAAGAGGTCCCCAAGATGCCCCCAAGAGGCCCTAAAGAGGGCTCCAGGGCCGGCGGAATGAGCGAAGCGATGAAATTCAAAAGCCCCGAGCTCAAGAATTTAGCCGTGCTAGAGCAGACGGGGCTCCGCGGCCCAGGGGCGGGGCCCAGGGGGGCCAAGGGGTGGGCTCCGAGGCCCACCCGGGGATCGGGGACAGGGAGACCCAGGGGGAAGGACGAACTGAAGGGTTCCGCGGCCTAGGGGCGGAGGAGGCCAGGGAGGCCAAGGGGAGAGGACGAGCGACCACGAACAAATATAAAGGTCCAACCACCAGAACACAACTGCACGAGATAATAATCTAGAGGCCTTCTATGGGGTCCGAGTAGGGTCGCGGAGCATCGACAATGCATCGCCGACGTATCGGCGATGCATCGGCCAGTACCTCGTCGACGTCGGCGATGCATCGGCGACGTCGGCGTGGAGAAAATTGGGCCCACACCGGGCAACATCGGCGATGCATCGGCGATGCGGCGCGATCCTCCGACCCCATCTACCCCGACGCCATCTGGGAGGCCGAGATAACTGACTGTTGTTGGCCTACGGAGATGGGTCCTGGACCGCTCCCGCCTCGATGCCGCCAGCATCTTATTTGAGACCGAGGCTCCCGCTCGATGCGGTACCTCTTCACGGCTTACTCCGAGACGCCCTGGCCCGAGAGGCTACCAAACTCAAGCATAGATCTCTCTCTCTCTCTCAAGAGAGAGAGAGAGAGAGAGACGTCCTCGCAGTTCAATGAAGTTGGTGGGGGCGCAACTGCGACGGCAACGGCTCCCGCTCGATACCTTCCTCGCAGTTTACTCCGAGGCGCGTTGGCCAGAAGACGCCCTCGCTCTCAGGAATGGCTCTCTTCGCCAGCAACTTTCTCGCAATCCACTTAGGCAGGTGAGGGCCCAGCTATGCCGACAATGGCTGCCGCTCGACACTTCCCTTCAATTTTCTCCGAGAGGCCTTCCTTGGTCAGATGCGCTGGCGGAACTCTCGCGCGAGACTTCCTCGCTATTGAGTCAAGTTGGCACATGTTGGTAAACTGGTCGTCGTCGTTGTAGTCGTCGTGTTCGTCGCCGCCGTCACCGTCGTGTTCGTCGTCGTCGCCGTCGCTGTCGTCGTTCTGTTTATATTCCACCTCCTCCCTCCTCACCGCTCCTCCCTCTGTCCTTCCTGCCCCATGGCTCCCCCCGCGGCGTCGTTGTCGTCGCCGTCCTCGCTATCCTCGTCCCTCGCCACGACCTCCTCATCCTGACATCGGTGCAAGGTCGGGAAGCGGGTGTGGGGGGGGCGACTGCCGCACCACCCGCACGGCTCTTTGAGCGCGCAGCTGCGACGGGGCACGCGGCGCTACCCGTCCTCGTCTTTTCGTCCTCGGCACGCCTGTCCGCCTCCTCGCCGGCCGTGACGCCTCAGACTGCGTGGTTGGGCCACGACGGCGTCCCCTTCCCCTGCTCGACCCGTGCACCCATCCTGGGGGACCTATCCCGGGGCGCGCTCCAGAGGCTCCAGGATGGGTCCACAAGCGCCAAACCAGGCCAAATCCCTTCTCGCGGACTTGTTCTCGGGTTCGTGTGTCTGATCGCGCGCGATCCCCTTCAACCGTTCATCGGCAGTCTCCATTGCCCGACTTGGGCGCGCCGCATCGCGTATTCGCAACGCGCTCCTGTTCGGATGCAGTCGCGGGCGCGGAGGGGCCAGGGCGGGGGCGAGGGAGATAAAGACGGCAGATCGCAGCAGGGGCGAGGGGATGGGGAGGGCGAAGCGGGATGGGGGAAGCCAGGAAGGGAGCGAGGGGGGGGGGAGGAGGGTCTCCTGCTGTTGCTGCTCGCCTTGGCGATTCTCTGTGGGACCTCTCAGAACTTCCTAGACATTGATACTCCTCCGAGGGGGCCTCCGCAGTCATCACAGGCCCCCCCATGCCCAGCACTCCCAGTGGGCAGGACTGCAGGAATGACATCTGACAAGGTACGCTGGGCACCGCTGCGCTGGCACAGATCTACTCCAACGGGTTTCCACTAGAGACGGATACCACCCAACAGTAACGCAGATTCCACAAGATCGCTGAGACAAAACAAGAAGGTGAATACTGAACCCAACGACGCCCCGCGACGGACTGGGCACCGTGTGCGCCCTCATTGTAGGCATGCCGCATGCGATTTATCCAGGACGAAGGCCTGCTCTACGAAATCGTCCTGGCCCGCTGCGCGCCATGTCTCCTCCTGGAGTGGTCACGTTATTGCCCCTGGCACTTTGTCGGGTTGGCGCGCACGAGTGGCGGCGAGATCGGCCGGGCCAGATACGAGGCGGAGCTTGCCAGGCTTGCCCCTCGCAAGCCTCCGAGCCAGGCCCCTCAGGTCCCAGCCTCCGAAACGCATGCCAAGATTGGCCACCTCGAGCAGGAGGTCGGGAAGATGGAACGCTTGCAAGCCCAGCTCGCCGAACAGAAGCAGCTGGCGTCCGCTGCCAAGCTGTCCCTCGACGAGGCGGACGAAGCCTGGAAGCAGGCCGTCGAGGAGTTGGCCGGTGCAATCGTTCTTGTCGACGGTGGCCAAGAGGCGGCCGCCCGTAATAGCAAGCTCGAGAACGTCGCCCCTGGCCATACCAAGGCCCTCGGCTTCATCAGCACCGACAGCATATTCCACGCGGACCCCGCAGTTTGCGAGCTCCTGGCTGGCGACTCCGAGAGTGCCCCCAGAAGCTCCCAAGATGCCCCCTCCTCCTCCTCACCTTCCTCCTCCTCCTCCTCCTCCTCCTCCTCCTCCTGATCTTCCCCGCCACCATCCCCCAAGTGTTCCCTGAAGGGTTTCCACAACGGCTGGGGGAACACATGGTCCGATAGCTTCAAAGAGCCTCCAGGAACGCCGAGCTGCCCTCAGCGCCCAGCTTCAGGAGATGGCGGCATCCCATTCTCTGGGGCCATGGAGAGGGCAGCCGCCCTCCAGCGCGCCGGCGCTGGGCAACTTCGGAGGCTTGGTCGGAAGGGGCGGCGCGGAGAGGCTGGGCTTGTCGAGGCGGGCGGTGCGGCAGCCAACGCAGGAGGACTTTGTTGGCAGCCTGGAGCAGCTGCGTCCCAGACCGCAGGCGCCAGCGCAGGCTCAGCCGAACGGCCCCCTCCAGCTGGGCAGGCGTTTAGTGGCGCTGGCGTGCCTGTTCCTGGTGATGACGGTTGCGAGGCAGGTCATGACGTCGGCACCAACATCCGAGCTCGCGCAGAACGCATCTAGGAAAAGGATGGGAAGCCCCTCCCTCTGCTGCACCAGAAATTGCCGAGCAAGGTGAGCAGGGGGAATATACGCATACTTTTCAATTGTGTAACCAGCGAGGATGTCTGGAATCAACTTGGCGTTCTCAAGGGCGTGAATGAGAGGCTCAATCTTTCTTGCAAGAGTGGTCTCAATGACCGGATCATTTCTTGAACAGACCACATCCATGTATCAGGAAATCATCTCGCGCGACACCGTTTCCTGCCAGGGCGGTGCTCCTGTCAGCCTGTCGGCTTCCGCTTCCGCCGCGCCCGCTTTGGGTAATGCGTGATAATGTTGATTGCACCGTTTTTACCTCCTGCCCCGCAGGAAAGGTCAATTGCTTCAGAAATTGTCGCGTTAAACTGCACGGCGCGGAGCTAGGCTTAGGTCGGGCATGTCCCCCTACAGGAGGATTTTGGACGGAAAAATTAAACATACTCAAACAAGACTCAACACATGTTCGAAAATAATCAAAAAGGCGTCCCCAGACTATTTTCACTATTTTTGAATATTCCTCCCTGTAGAGGGACAGGCCCGACTTAAAGCTAGGCCAAAGATTGGATTTCGCCTTGCTCGGCCCACGCCACTCTGCTTGAGGGGCACCGCTTCGCCGACGATCGGACCCCTGACGCTCGGCACTGGGCGCTGAGGAACGGATGGACGGCCTCTTGTGATCCTTGCTACGTGACTCGTCCTCGGGCACCTCTGCGGGGGTGGCAGCGCTGTGCAGGAGTTTCCTGGAGGCTTGTAGAGCCTCCTGGAGGTTGCGAGCCTGCCCCTGCAGGGCCTTCGGGGCCCGCCTCGCTGTCGGTGGGCAGGGCCCCATCTGCGTCGCGGGCTGTCGCGCCCAGGCTTGTCAGGAACACTAAGATTTTAGCAGGCTTACTTTCTAGATAGGCTCGGAGGTCGGCTTCCTCGGGGATGTGCTCTCACGTCGCGGGCGGGGAATCTCACGTGGAGCCGCATGTGTTAGGCGTTAGGGACTTGCAAATTTGTTGAGCAACTCGAGGCGCAGCTCCTCCGTGCCGGGCGCGGGGCGTGCAGATCCACCCCAGACGCTGGAGTGAAGGCTTACGACTGGTTCGTTGTCTCGAGCGGGCTGTCTGAAGGGACTGTCAGTGTCGGAGT